TTTCTGATGTCTTTGGCTACTGATGCTTATGAGGAGCCTTTTTAGAGCAGTTTACAGAACTTTGATCTATAAGGACTAGAGATTTCTTTAATTAATATTTTTTTCCAGTCAAGCTGGAGTATTTACGGTAGGCTGTTGGGCAAGGTTTTACACATCAGTTCTTGAAGTATGTGCCCTTTGCTGGGTGTTCTACTTCCAACTGACAGCTGCTGTGCAACGACAAGAAAATGCAGATAGCACAAGAGAATATTTTGGAAAGACACCAGTTTCAGGATACTCTTCACGGTCTTTTTTTTTTTTTTAAGGTAAGTTGATTACTATTGGGAACTTTATCACCTGTAGTGCTATGCGTAACAGGAATTTTGAAACTTGCCACTTAAAATGATTACTTTCTCCTTGTGTAAACTAACCCCTTAAAGCTGAACTCTAGTCAGACTGCTAAGTACACAGATAAACTACATGTATGAGAGTTGTTTTACTTGGCAAAGGATTTGTATTCGGCCCCTTTCATGTGGCAGTTCTGAGTGTGGAGTATAGCGAAAACTGTAGTTGGCACCTTGGTGAAGAACTGAGATGCAGTGGACTGCCAATGTCATTCAGATGAATCCTCAACATTCAGAAATCGGCACTGGAGCCAAGACATCACCTGGGGCTAACCTTGGACACGGTCTTGTTCAGGGTCTTCTTTCCCCACCCCCCTTACCCTGGACAAGCTCTAGTCTCTCCACACCCATATGTTTGCATATGTGGGTTTTGGGATTGATGGTGACCCCCTTCGAGGCAGTCCCTTACACAGTTTCACTTCAGACTGTTGCAACTCAACATTCTGACAATGTGGGACAAGCAGACTGTCTCTGGATTGTCCCATACACCTGTCTAGCTAAAGCCTTTCCAGCTAAAGCTCATTCAACCAGGTGCTGCTTGGGCTTTTCAGCATCAGACATCGGTTTCCCAGATTTGCAAGGCAGTTACCTGGTTTTGTGTTCACATGTTTAAATTCTGCCAGGTAAATGTTCAGGCTTCCTCCGATGCCATTTTTAGTCGCCAAGTGCTTTGTGCTGCTTTCTGCATTCTTCGTGCTCTTACTTGATTTATGTGCACCTGTTGGTGGTGTTTACTATGTTGCTCACTTCTCAGTTGGGCATCTGGATTTCCCCATGACTAACCTTTAAAGGAGCCTGCAAACTGTGATGCATGATTGAGAAAATAAGATTTTTGTCTTGCTTGAAAAATCTGTTTCTTGAAGTATGATGCAGGACCCAGGCTTAAAATGTTGGGGGACTTTCAGGACTAAAATGTGCATTTTTAACATGTGAAAAAAATGGCCCAGACAGCAAAAGGGTTAAAGGAGCATATGTGCTGTAATGTACTCCATGAAAAGGATTTTACATGCAAGACTAAAAGCCATTTTATTTTTGTCCGTCCAGTCTTGAGATTTTTTTGCACACTGCCACTTGCACAGTCCTGCATGGCAGGGGAGGGAACTTGTTCTCTCTGGCAGTTTCACTTTCACGTACACGTCTGCTCTTCATGTGACTGGACGGTGTAGTGGAAAGCTGCAGACAGAGGTAATGTTATTTTTTTCCTGTCTGCATGCTCCACACCTGATTGGCTTTTTTCACTTCTCCCTCCTTCTCTGAGCTCTGCTGTACAGTAGGCTGCAAGAGGCTAATACCAAATCAAATTCAGGTACTTGCTTGACAAAATACATTCAGTGATGTATTAACTGTCATACATTGCTGGCAGTGGGCCCCTTTTAAACAGACTCTGCCAGGACTCTGTTTACATGTGTAAAGCGGACTGTTGGCTTTACACTGAAAGCGATTCCACAGACTGCTTCCAGGGGCCGATGTAGTGTGCAATTTTTAACCTTGGCATGTTGGGAATCTTATTTACATATCATCTCATTTATATTTAAAAAAATAAATAAAAATTGAGTATTGGGTTATCTGGCGCTAAAACTGAGTGTATTTTTAACAAAAATCTCGGTTTGATAACTAGTTGCGCTAATATCGCGTGACATCAAAATATGAAACTGCCACCATTTTATTCTACAGCAGGATCTTGTGTGTGTGTGTGTGTGTGTGTGTGTGTGTGTGTGTGTGTGTGTGTGTGTGTGTGTATATATATATATATATTTGGAGTTTTTTTGTCATTTTCAGGCCTAAAATGTGGATTATAACGTATGTGAAAAAAAGCCTTGGTAAGGGTTAATGAACACAGCTGCATTAATCTGTGTCTTTTAGCTAGGGCTGCACCCAACTAATTGATAATGAGAATAGTTGTCAACTATACTCATTATCGATTAGTTGGTTGGATCCTCTAGCTCTCTCCTCCATGCTGGGAGAAGGGCACAGCGTGAATTGGGTGCAATAGCCAGCCTGCTATTGGCTATTGCAATTTGAAAGGGCTATTGCACCCTCAAGAAAAATACAGCAAGTCCAGTTGCCTTGACTTATTTTTTATAGATATACCATGACCTGGATGAATGAGAACCTTCACAGACACTGCATCTGTGTGTATTATTTTAAATTAAGGATGGTATTTATTTTTATCCGATTAATGGAAAAAATAATCGGCCAACTAATTTATTATGAAACTATTTAGTTGCAGCCCTACTTCTAGCTCTGCCTGAAAGTTCAGCTTTAATGTAACCTAATTTGTTTTAAACACCATACAGTCTTTACATTTCTTATTCTTTCCCCCAGAATAGAATATTGTAAGTATCCACTTTACATACAACAATGTAATTCTGCTTAAATAGGGCTGTAGGAAGGATAGGGAGGGCACATTTTTCACTGCATACAAAATATTTAATTTTAGGTGGCATCTAGAGGTATGACATTCTTTTGTGTGTGAATCTTGGTTTGCACACATTTTCATAATAAACATTATTATGTTGTAATGTTAAAGGACTGATGGCCTGAAAAATGTAAGTCCTCTATTTGTTCACAGGCCAGGTACGGTGCAGGCAGCCGCAATGCGAGCTTCCACACACTACCCTGATCGGAGGGACCCCCCTCTAGGGCTGTGAAAAGGTAATACCATGGTCATGCCAGGTTTGTCCTATTTGTCACTGTGCAAAGTTCATATACTTTACCTAAAGTGATGTGCATGATAACTATTTTCATTTTTAAAGCTTATGGATAACTTGTATGTACGTAACTATCAATTAAATGCATAGTTAGTTTTTAGTTGTGAGAAGCTAGGAAAATGTATTTCTACTAAAACAAAACAACTTGTAAAGTCAGAAAAAGTGTTTGTATTCAAAATATATAGGGGGCCAATATTATGTGCTTGGGGTATATTGGGCCAACATAACCCATTCTAACAATTTTCACATGTAATATTCACATATATGTAGTGGAATAAACTCTCCTGTTTTATTCAGCGTTCTTTAAGATGAATGGTGGGAAAATTAGATATACAGGGACTTCTATGTGTATAGGGGTAACCAATCTGCCTCTGTTCCCTGCAGTTTTTAGACTTGGCTTAAATGGATCTGCTTTACCTCTAAAGAGGTGTGTAGGCAAATTTTAAAAAGTCCAAACCATGTGTTTCACAGTGGGGCCATGTGCCAGTTCTGTATCGTCTCAATTATTTTTTAGCTTTGTGTTTTTGTTTACAGTGTAGCCTAACCAGCATATTTAAGTGTAAATCTAAATTCTTCAAATGTATGTTGTTCGTCCTTTATCTTTTGAAAAGCTTAATATACTTGTCCCAGTAGTAGTGCTTTTAAAATGTCCAGAAACATGGAGGACGTGTAATAGTCCCACTGTAAAAAAGAAAAAAAAAACACTGTCTATATTTTTAGAAGTTGGGTGCCATGTTAAGTATTTTTGTGTGTTTTGTACAATGTTGGAAAGGTGTTTGCATTACATCCTAACTCCAGTTGATAAAGTGTAGAAGGGTTTGGACATAATGTGAAGGAAATTTGTTTCCAAATTCCGCAATAATTAAAAGGGTAGGGTTTAGAATCTGTCAGGATATTGACATGTTGCCAGGGAGATTTCCCCTCCCATCTATCTAGGTGACAGGTACCACCGGATGGTTAACCCTGCTCTTAAAGCCCATGTTCAGTCTAAGTGATCTATGGAAGAAACTATGGAAGATAATACATTCACATATTCTAACTTTCCATAACAATTGTTCGTAAATGCAATGTTCAAGGCTCATGAAACCGCAAGCTCCTAGACCTTCTTTCCTTAAGTACTTGATGTTGTACCATTAACTTTGCCTGTAGCTAGTGCTGCTGGTGAATATGAGAAGTCTGTCAAGCAAAGTAGAATTGCAGGGACAGAGTACCTCCAACTAAAAGTGATGCACAGAAAGGGCAAGTAATGTTTGCTGTACTATGAAGGTGCAGGAATAAAATGGAAATCTGGCACATAGACTTCATGACTAAGGCACTAATTGCTATAGTGAGTTGGTAGCAATCATTTAAGAGCTTGCATTTTACCTAAAGGAAAAAAAACAACTTATTTTCCAGAAACAATAGTGTTCAAATTAAAGGAATAGAGACTGTCCAGTTAGCAAAGTGAAAGTTCAGTTTGAAATATGAATGGGATTTTCACTTTAATAATCCAGTTGAATGGAAGCAAACATCCAGACTGTATTACCCTTAAACATCATTGTTTCAAATGAGCACAGCTTTGCCTTCATTTTCCAAAGTGAACTTTCTTTTCAAGGTGAATTTTCTTTGCCAAGTGAACATCCTCTATTGACTTAGTAAATCAGATCCATAATGTTTTACTTTTTGACAGGCATTTTAGTGGAGAAAAATTTGGATTTTTCTTGCTACTACTAGATTAATTCTGTCAGCTATATTTTTGTATGTGTGGATGTTTTTAGTTGTAATATAAATAAATGCATGTACTTGTGCTGTAGCCTTGAAATGCTCAGGTTCCTCTTGTTGAGTATGTTGCTGCCTGTCCTTGGATGTAAATTACATGTTGAGAAGTCAGAACATCTTTTGTTAAATATTTTTTTTTTCCCTGTAGATTTTGTATGGTATATTCAGAATCCCCAAACTTCAGTGAGCCAAATACAGAATTTGCTGGTCAGCAGCCACCACCAAAGACAAATCAAACAAAGAATGTAAGTCTCCCCCATGTTAGACTTTTTAGTGTGTTTTACTGAAACATTTAATAGATAAAATATTGCTAAATATATATGGTGACTTTAAGTTAACCTCTCCTTAGCCTGACCCAGGCAAACATAAAACATGGTTAAGAAGCATACCTCAAGCCTTGATTTGAGTTACACATCCTTGGTGCTTGACCAAGTTGTAACCAGGAGGTGCTTGAAGTGATCTCACAGATGGCGCTGTGTAGAAATAAGGTTTATTAACCTATATGAAATGCTGATGTTAAAATAACTTAAATGAGGATATCTGAGTTCTGGTGACTTACTTATATGGTTGAGAAGCAGAATCCCTTGGGATACAAAATACATCTAAAATACTGCTAGTTTAATTGCCTGGAATCTAATTTTGTTTTGTAGTTGTTGCTGCCATTCTAGCCATGTGGTGTGGCAGGAATGAACTGCTTCTTGAAAACTGAAAATATTTAGACCATGAAAACAATACTTTTTTTAATGGCATTTAGCTGGAGATCTGCTTTATGCTACTACAAATATGTCCACTGTAACTTAGACTTGAAATTTGTTTTTTAGCCATTCAATTGTATAAAAATGTTAACGGGTATGATTTTTTTTCTCTTCAGATGCATGGAGATCAAAATAGTCACACAACACAAAACACAGGTAGGATAAAGTCTGTTGAATTCAAAAAACAGTGGTGGTTAATTGTATTTGGGTCTGGCAACCAGCTCATAGTTAAGTGAAAGTAGTGCGGGTATAATTAAACAGGTAGGATCTTGTGCTGGAAAAATTAGAAATTGACTTTTTTTTCCCCCCTTCATTACAGGTAATGGGTCACTCTTTTCACCAGGAGGCATTAATTATCTTCCTAATCTTACAACTGGTGGCCGAGCCAATGAACGTGGGCCTGGAAATCAGCACACAGGGACCCCACCAGCTGTTCCCATACAGTCAACAGTTGCCAACATAACTAATGGAAGAGACCCAAGAAGGACCAAGAGATGACATGCACATGTTCCTAAAAAGCTTGAACTCCATAATATACTGTACTTGAATGCGTACTGCACTTTTATTTGTGTTTAAATGGGAAGTTGTAATATCTAGATGCTTGAAACATATTTTGACCACATATGCCATTTTGAGTTAAAAGATTGAGACTTGTTTTGTATGTTTAACCCCTTTGGGCCAAATCAGACTTGCAGTAAAATAATTTCCTTTTCCATCCCTCTATTTAAAAAAGTAACAAAGTAAACCCTCTCACAACACTAATACATTTAGTTTGTGAGCTTCCTTCTGGCAGTTAGAAAAGTGTTTTTCTCCTGCCTTTTATAAAGCCTTTTTTTTAAGGTAGTAGACCTTAGCTTTTCAACCTGACTATGTAGCCATTTGCTGGCAAAGGTATTTTGAAAATGTAATAATGCCTACTTAAAAGAAATACTAGGTAAAGCATCCATTCCATCTGCCCCGTCTGTATACATTGGTTTTACGTAAGAGATAACCCCCCTTGGACTCTCTCACAGTGCAGTGTTGGGACCTCAGATTATAATGATTTAATTGCAAGTTTATATTTGATATAAGCAATCGTCCATACATGAAAGTAGAAAATAAACAGTTTTCAAATTTCTAAATAAACCGAATGCATAATTGACTCCTTTTGCTGTGAAACCCTTAAATACATGTTGGAGCAGCTCAAGTTTTTAAGAAGCCATAATTTGTGGAATATCATCCAACTATGTGCAATTAGTGTCACACAGTCTCAAAATATACTTTTCTGCAAGGCCCAAAATTTGAAAGTCTCTGAAGGGAACCAGGAAGACTAAGGAGCTACCATCTAGTTTAGAGTTTGACAAAAATCATGTGGAAGACACCACAAATGAAAAATGTATTTCACATTTTTGCTATCGAACAATGTGTTGTGGCAAGCCAATACTGCTCATCACCCTGAGACCCAGCTGAGTAGTGTGATATGTTGTAGAGTTGATTTTAATCAGCAAGGGCTGGAAAATTGGTCAATATTTAGAGCATAATAGAGTCAATTTTAGGGTTCACTTTATAGCAGGATAATGACCCTGAACACTCAAAGCTGCTCTGGAGTGATTTAAATAATGAACCTGAATATCCCAGCCAAAGCCAAAATCTTAGTTGAATAAAGAATCTTTTTAGTAAGGCTTGAAAATTGCTGTTTGCCAGTGATTCCCATCCAACCTAAAGGAACCCCGTCAAACGGAAGCGGAAAACTTTAGGCAATAGACATTTAATGCTGGTATAGATTTACCTTCAAATCTGCAGCTTTAATTGCAGGCAGTGGTTGCTCTACCAGATTTGGAAGGGGGGTATAGTCGTGAATACTTGTGCAACTAGTACACAAGCTGAGGGCTATGGGCATAGATGAGGTGGTGTGTACGTGGATAGAGAACTGGCTACGGGAACGGGTCCAGAGGGTATCTGTAAATGGCACCTTTTCAGACTGGGCACTTCCCCAGTCCTGCCAACGTGCGCATTCAGTTCCTCACTACAGCAGCTTTGGCTGTGATGGCTCTCTGTTGTGGCAGAGCAGCTTGTGAGATGCATCTTTTAAGGGAACATATGACCAGCCGGCCTTGATTGACCAGTGTCCCTCTGCAGGCCCAGCGGCACCCTGGTTCCACCCAGAGGTGCTCGATTTTTTCCCCCCCTGGAGAAACGGTTTCTACAAGAGTACTCTAGGCGATGCCCCTCCCCATCTAGTATGTATGTGGGGTATTGGGGTTGGTCAGCTGCCCTGACTGCAGCAGGGGTTGGGTAACTGTTTTATTTGCACAGCGGTTCTTTTGCATCCAATGACATGGAGCACATTTTCTGTTTGTCTGCCAGCTCCTGAGCTATGCCTAACTGCGATGGGGGCGGTCGCTGGTGTCTCGCTTTCATCACTGTTCTGGATACCTCAGGTTCTTCTAATACCCCCTATCTTTTGAATGCTTTAGTTAAGCTATGGACTTATTTGTGTTACGCATTGAGCATGCTCTGTCCAAAGTTCCTGCTAGAAGATGCTGCCCTTCCTCTCCTGCATTGTCTCATCCTTTCTGTGGTGGGTGATACACCTGGTACCTTCTGATCAAGAACCAGATTCTTTTGGTAGTGTTGAGAATGCCTTATCTTTGGCCATTCTTCAAGAAAAAGCACTGGTCTCTGCCCTTGTCTGTGAGGGAAACCCTTAACATTGAGGATGTACCGGGCTTGGTGGGGAAACCTCCTGTTACTTTTGGTACTTGCAAGGTTCATCGTTCCACCAAGGTTTTTCTGTATAATTCCCAGCCAATCAGGAAGCCGGCAGGTGGGTAATGACTCTGGCCTGGCTTCGTGATTGGCTGGGAAGCTGGCTCCATGCTGTTTGGCCCGGCTCGATGCTGATCAGGAATCTGGGCTGCAGGTAATGGCCAGCCTCCTGGATCCCTGATTGGCTGGGAAGCCGGCTCCATGCTCATTGGGCAGGAAGTTAGCTTCCCGGGCCGATCAGCATCGGGCCAGCCAAACAGCATGGAGCCGGCTTCCCGGGCAATCAAGAAAGCGGACAGCGGGTAATTACACGGTGCAGGGAGGTACTTGTATCGGCGAGTACCGGAATATAAATATCGGTACTCGATACCGAAAAACTTATCGGTGCATCCCTAGTTTCTAGACTTAAAGGAGGAACTATGAGGCGAGTGCTTTTCACTCATCATAGTTCTAGCCGACCTGTGACAATGAAACTGTCACAGGTCGGCTCAGTAGATCGGGAAGTGAGCGAACACATACTGGCGTTCGCTCACTTCTCCATCCTGTCACGGCTCTCTGCCTTGACAGGGGAGGGGCTAGATTCCCCGCTCCATTCCTCCAGCGCTGACTGACGGAACGGACGGGGGTGGGTACAGCTGGCTCTGCCTCTAGATGGGCAGAGCCAGCTGTCACTCACGCAGCTGGGCGGATCCAGACATAATTGTCAGGATCCGCTTCAGCTGCGGCATCTCAGTATACCGCGAGCTGTAGCTCGCGGTATACTGAGCTTAGGGTGAAGGGAGGACACTTGTTTGTGTCCTCCCGTTACCCTAAGGAGAACTATGGGGAAAAGCCCTAACCCCATAGTTCTCTAACAAGTAATTCTGGTACAGGACTCTCTCTCCTTTTGGGACCCTACCGCTAGGAAGTCTGAAGTGATATTTTGAACCATGTTTTCTGTCACTGGAATCCTGCTGCATCCAGTCTTAGCTTCTGCTATGGTCTTTACAGAATGGGCATAGTTGCTTCATGCCGGTCTCGCTGGTGAGAATGTGGCCCTGGGCCTACGTTGAACTTGCAGATCAGTTGGTGCAGGGACTTCAGTATCTGTCTAATGCCTTGGATGCCGTACCTCTGGTGTCCATGCTCTCAGTTTTGGTGGTAGTTTTCAGGAGACTTCTGTAGCTCAAGTGTTAATCGGTGAATCAGGTGTCAAAGAAGGCCTTGAAGGAGTTGCCTTTTCAGAGGGAAAAAAAAATCTCTCTTCACGGTCCACAAAAAGGATGATGTATGTCCCATCCTGGACCTCAAGTTTCTTAACAAGTACATTTGGGTCTGCAATTTAAAGATGGAGTTCATTCAGTTGGTGGTGGCCTCTTTTACAGCAGAAAGATTTACTAGCATCCATAGACATCAAGGATGCTTATCTCCACATCCTTATTTGTCAAACCCATCAGAGGTTCCTGTGGTTTGCGGTAGGGAAGGACCATTACCAATTTATGGCCCTCCACCTTGGCCTGGCATTGGCTACCAGAGTGTTCACCAAGATCTTGGCCCCAGTGCTGGCACTCCTGAGACCTTGTGGGATATCAGGCATGGCTTATTTGGACGATCTTTTGGTGGAATCGATGGTCTAGTTGCACACCAACCTCTGCCGTAACATATAACAATAAATATGTTACGGCACTTGGTTGGATTCTGAACCTAAAATCTTCCCTGATCCCATCACCTGAAATATCTGGGTTTGGTCCTGGACACTAATCACGCAATGGTGTTTCTTCCTTGGGACAAGTTCCTGAAGGTTTCCTCCCATGTTTGACTTGTGCGTCATTGCAGGTGGCTTTTGATTCGCTCTTGCATGCGTGTTCTGGGTCTGATGGTGTCCTTCGAAGCGGTTCCCTTTGCTCAACATCACACTCGGTCTCTTCAATGGGAGATTCTTGCGAAGTCCCCAGAATCCCTGGACAGTTGAGTAGGACGACAAGGGCCTCGCTGGGGTGGTGGCTTCAGTCTTTGTTGCAGATATCCGGGAAGTCCTTTCTTCCTCTCCATTCGATGGTGGTGACTGATGGTTGAGGAGGAGTTTTGATTCAGGCTTGCTGGATGTTGGAGTCATTGCTTCTGATCAATGTGTTGGAACTTCGGGTGATTTCATCTTTCTCTTCACAACTGGACTCTTCTGTTGCAGGGGCACCCGATTCAGATTCAATCAGACAAGCCTATGGCCATGGCATATGTAAATCATCATGGGGCACCATCAGCGGCAGCCACTCTGCAGGTAGCCCACAATCTTCACTGGGAAGAAGAGCCAGTTCCAGTCCTGTCTGCAGTGCAGATTGTGGACATAAACAACCGGTGTGCCGACTCATTTGTCAAACCCTGAACCAGGTGGAGTGGTCTCTCCATTTGGAGGTATTCAGTCTTTCTTTGTGATTGAAACAAGATGCTAGCAGGTCCACGTCTGGAGTCCCCCAAGGTAGACTGCTTTGTGCCCAGTTCACAGTATCTGTGGGTGGACGTGATGGATGCTCTGGTAGAGCCGTGGGACGGGTACAGTCTGATCTATGTTTTTGCTCTACTGATGCTCCTGTCTTTCACATCACAGGATAGTGAGGGACCCTAGTGGCTCTGTATTGGCCTCGAAGGCCTTGGTACACTGATCCGATAGGTCTCATCACGGACACTCCCTGGCGCCTACTGATTCCTCTCTTTGGTGTCAGGGACCAATGTTTCATCCTGCTTTACAGTTGCTGGTTTTAACGGCCTGGCTG